AAATAGCAACCATTTATTTTATTAGAACTATATGTGTTTTTAATAATTTAGAAGAAGCCCAGCTGGCATAGCTCAGTGGTTGAGCATTGACCTGTGAACCAGGAGGTCACAGTTTGATTCCTGGTCAGGGCACATACCCAGGTTGCGGGCTTGATCCTTGGTCGATGATTCTCTCTCATCACTGATGTTTCTATGTCTCTCTCTCTCTCCCTTCTTCTCTGAAATAAAAAATATATAGAAAAAAATAATAATTTGGAAGAAAACGCATCGAATTATAGTGAATGAATAGCTAGGGCAGCGATTTTCAAATGGTGTGCCACAAGAATTTTTAAAACATGCAGTATCTGACTATTTAGTGAGGGGCACTGACCTCTTTTTCCTTAGATTGTCAAATTTAAAAAATGATAAGAGTTGCCCTGGCCAGTGTGGCTCAGCTGGTTGGGTGTCCTCCCGTGCAACAAAAGGTTGTTGGTTTGATTCCTGGTAGGGATCATGCAGGAGGCAGAGAATTGATGTTCCATTCTCACATCAATGTTTCACTCTCTCCCGCTCCCTTCCTCTCTCTCTAAAAATCAATTTAAAAAAATGACAACAACCAACATGTTAACTGTCTAGTGCAGTGATGGTGAACGTTTTGAGCTTGGCGTGTCAGCATTTTGAAAAACCCTAACTTAACTCTGGTGCCGTGTCACATATAGAAATTTTTTGATATTTGCAACCATAGTAAAACAAAGATTTATATTTTTGATATTTATTTTATATATTTAAATACCATTTAACAAAGAAAAATCAACCAAAAAAATGAGTTCGCGTGTCACCTCTGACACGCATGTCATAGGTACGCCATCACTGGTCTAGTGCAAATGAGTCAAAATTACACCTATTTTTTTTTTTTTTTTGGTCAGTTTGGCACAAAGTGTATCCTTTTTGGTGTGCCGCAGAACTTACAGTAATTAGTTTATGTGTGCCATGATATGAAAAAGGTTGAAAATCACTGATCTTGGGGGTTGAAAGGTGGATGATGAGAATTTTAATTTTCTGTGGTCTTTATTTCAGCAATATTTTATGTTAGTAAAGCTTTGTATTACATTTGTAAATAAAAAGGAAAAGAAAAAGAAAAAATATTAAGTGTCCCTAAAAAGACTGTGAGTAAAAAGTTGTCTTGCACCTCATCTCAATGACAAAAGGTAAAATTGTTAAAAACACAAGCCAGATACATCCCACTGAATAAAATACGTCATACTCCTCGAGTCAAGAGAATTATAGCAAATGTGGCCTGACCCTGGGCTTCTGTCCTTCCCTAAAATAGAGTTGGGGATGGCAGGAGCTAGACTTCCTAGCAAAGGACCCACTTGTTCATTGGGATGAAGGAAATCCCCCAGTGACACGAACCAAGCAAAGAAAGTGCATTCACACCCAGAGAGCTTTCAGGAAACAAGATCCTGTCTTATCACCATCAACAAGGAGACTCATCTTTCACCAACTCATTGAATGAGCCCCTTTGTTTCCCCTAAAGGATCATCATATGTTCTTTCCCCGCTGCTACAGAAAGCCCAGGTGCCCCAGAATTCGGCACTGAGAGGCAGAGGAGGAGTCCCAAGACAAACTTCCTCGTCCACGTTTTCAAGTGGAACAGGAGCGGAGATGGCAGGGCACCGAGAAAGGGGCGGGGCAGGCAGGTAGGTGCAGGAGTGTGAGCTCAAGAAGGTTTACTTTATAACAAGGCTTTCCATCTTACTTGTGTGTGCCACATACATCACATGTCCCCCAACAGATCATTAAAAAAGGAAAGAGGAAGGATGGAGCCTTCCTGCTTCAGGATGCTGTGGGACAGGAGCGGTGAGTCCATCAGTGTGTTGACAAATACACACTGACCATCGTTCTCTATGCCAGGCGCTACTCAAAGAGTCAACATAATAAAGTCCCTGTCCTTCAGGAATGCAGAATCGCTTCAAGCCTCGGAGACATGTGGGGTGCTACTGTGTGATACCCATCACGGGGCCTGTATGCAGCAGAGGCTTGACAACTGTTCACAGACTTACACTGTTCATCTATGTCAGGGCACAGGTGTGACGGTGTTGACTGGCTACCCCAGTACCTGTCACTTTCCAGCCTCCCAGAGGCTTCCCCCAGCCACAATCCTTTCTCATCTCTTCTTACCTTCTCGTCCCAACTTCCTTTCTAAGAGTTCCCCACCCTCTCAGCCCATAACTCACATTCTCTACCACACAAAACTTGCCTTGACCTGACTCAAACCATCCTTTCCCCATCTAGATCTCAGAAAAGCAGTCTGTATTCACTGCCTTCTCCTCACCACAGAGCCACTCTAATTCCTGATCACTGAGTTTCGACCCTGCACTAAAACTGCTTTCTTGGGGTCACTTGAGCCTCTTACAAAGCAAATGGCCTCCTCCCAGCCATTACTCTCTTCCCTCTCCAGCATTAGGTACTATTAACCACCCTTTTCTCAAAGCTGATTTCCATGGCCTTAGATTCCTGGTTCTTCATCCACCATCCATCCATCATGTAAGATGTTACATTGCACTCTCATTCTCTAGGTCCTCTTCCTCCACCCACCCCTTAAGTGTAGGCGTTACTCAAAGTGAAAGTCTGTTCTCCTCCCTCATGGGATCCTCTCCCCTTTCTGTGCCGACTGAGGACCGTCAATGATGCCCCAGATTTGCTACAGCAGCTCCACGGAAACTTCCTACTGAACGTGGTCAACACTGAGCTCTTTCTTTACACCTCCTCCCACTCTCAAAACTGCTCCTTCTTTTAAGACTTAAATCTCAGTGAATTAGCAACACCAACCTCCCAGATACCCGAGCTATAAATCTCTAAGTCATATTCAACAGTTCTCCTTCTCCTTCCCCTCTGTGCCACTGGGCACAGTGCACCTACAAGTGAATTTTAAGGACCTGCACAAATATTTAAAGATGTGAACAAAATTTATTAGCACCAAAGTATAAAATTAAGACTGTAGAATCAAATCCTATATAATAAAAGACTAATATGCAAATTGTCCCCTTGACCAAGAGTTCAACTGGGAGTTTGACCAGGAATTCGACCAGGGGGAGGGGCCAGCCCGCCAACTACCCGCGGCCTCTCCCCCTGGCCAGCCGGACCCCACCTGTGCACAAATTTGTGCACTGGGCCTCTAGTTTTAAAATAATTCCAAGCTCTGGTCAATGTGGCTAAGTGGTTAAAGCATCAGCCCACACACTGAAGGGTCCCCAGTTTGATTCCTGGTCAAGGGCACATACCTGGGTTGCAGCAGAGGAAGAGTGTGGGAGGCAACCAATCTATGTGTCTCTCTCACACTGATGTTTCTCTCTCTCTCTCTCTCTCTCTCTCTCTCTCTCTCTTCCTCTATCTCTTCCACACATCACCCCCCTCCTACGTCACCCTTCCTCTCTCTCTGAAAAGCAATGGAAAAAATATCCTCAGGTGAGGATTAACTATATATCTCCAAAATCCCTTCAAATACCTTTGACAGCAAAAACATTATATTTAAAGTAGGATACTGGTAAATTTTAATACATTTGGTCCTTTATGTAACAGGGCCCTCACAGGCCAACTACCTCACACAGAAAGTCCAGATAATTTGATTTCTCAGAATCTATTAGATTCACCTCCTCCCTTCCATTCCCACTGTCTGGTTTAAACCCCCTTCAGCCCTTCATCATATTCCTGCAGGATGTCCTAAAACACAGCTGATAGCATATCACTCTCCCGTTCAAAAATGTTGATAATGCCCCTAGGACCTGCAATTAAACTACACCCTTTTTATGCGGCATTCGGGCCGGCCACAACCTCGCGCCAACTGCTTCTTGGGCCCCTCATCAATACATGCTCCTGCTCTTCCTCTGCTGCAGCCACACCAGACTCATCCTGTCCCACAGGCCCCCATGTGCCCATGGAATGCCCATTCCCTAATCAGCCAGTGGAACTTGTACCTGTCTCAAGGGTCAGTTTAAAAGGCCATTCCTCAGGGAAAGCTACCTTCCCAGGGTGCCCAGCCCAAACCAGTCTTCGCTTCCTGGAGGCCGTGGAGCAGTTTCCACAAATGCACTTGCCTTGACCGCCTTGTGCTACACTCAGACTCACGTGTGGCTGTCCCCATCACAAAACCACAAAGCCTCTCAAGAGCGGTATCCCAGCCAATCACCTGTGCGCTTCCCACACAGCCAGCACAGGGCAGCCAATAATGCGTCCGGGCCTGGCCGGCATGGCTCAGTGGGGGAGCACTGACCTATGAACGCTCCAGGTTTGATTCCCAGTCTGGACACATGCCCGGGTTGCAGGCTCGATCCCCAGTGTGGGGCATGCAGGAGGCAACCGATCAATGATTCTCTCATCATTGATGTTTTTCTCTCTCTCTCTCTCTCCCTCTCCCCTCCACTCTGAAATCAATAAAAATATATTTAAAAAAAAACAAAACAAGACACCACCACCAAAAAAAAAAAAAAAAGATTGCAGCCTGAAGGGCAGCCACCTCCTGCCCCTCCTCTCCACATCAGTCTGTCTCTGCTCCACTGCTACATGGTCCTCCATGCCATTGCTGTGTGTACAGTGGACCCCTGAGCCAGGCCTAAACCAAGAAAACTTGAAAGCTCTGAAAAATGCTTCACTTCAGACCCACCGTAACTATTCCTCCGATGTCCTAGGTTTCAGATGGTGAGAAAGAGCATAGGCTTCAGGGTCAAGCAGGTCTGGGTTCAAACCTGGAGTCTGGCATTTCATTGGCTGTGACTTTAAGCAAAGTTGGCTTGACAAGCCTCAACCTCCTCCTCAGTGAAATGGGAATTATATCTAACTCAATGGACTGCTGTGAGAGGTAAATGAGTTTAGGCACTTCAAGTCCCAAGCTTGGCAGCTGGCATATGACAGGCCGGAAGGAGCGGCAGGAAACAGAAGGAGAGGCTCAGATTTCTCAAACCATATGACCTTGTCAGAAGTCATTCCCCTCCCTAGATGCTCATTAAAGCAGGAATTCTTACACTGGCATCGTGATTTCAGGACTCAAACTTCATGGTGCTGCTTATATGTCCCATGCAGCTGTTAAGAATGAAAGAGGTCAAGCTCTTCGTCCTGATATAGAAAGACGTTGAAGTGTTTCATCATTAAGCGAAAAGGGCAAGTTGTAGTACAGTGTCAGAAATAAATAGCCACAACATACATGCACAAACATATGTATGATATATATATAGACACACACACATACATATACCGACAAATACTTACATACCTATATCTATATGTATATGTTTACATGTACTCAGAAAATCTCTAGAGGGATACATGGGAATTGTTAATGGTGGTTACCAACGATAATGATCTAGGAGTATCATTTACATTCTTCTGTATGGCTTGAATTATTTTTGCCATGGGTATGTCTTCATGTTATAATTTTTTAAAACCTGTTTTTAAAAGTTGTAGGAGAAGGCAGAGGAGTGGGAGAAGGAGGGAGAAAGGACAGGGTCATAGATCCAGAGGCCTGGGTTCCACTTAGAGTCCTGCAACTAACTCTGTAACCTCAGGCAAATCACCTCCCCCTGTGGATCTCTCTTACTGTAAATTAGGGGCGTTGAACCAGACATCCTTCCAAGATTTCTAGGTTATTAGATGATGTCTGCAAGGTGCTCTGAGTACATTTTATCCATAGGATACCTCTCTCTCTCTCTCTCTCTCTCTCTCTCTCTCTCTCTCTCTCTCTCTCTGTGTTTTGATGCTTTAAGCATCAGGTTTTTAAAAAGGAAAATATATACGCTATTTCATTTTGACCTTCACATTTCAAGGAGAAAGCACTCCCATCGTCTTACTGACAGAGAAACCAAGCAGGGACTGTAATGATCCCTGGCTCACCAGATACACCCTGCTCACCAGACTGCCGTTTGCAAAGAATTATGATGCCAGGAGTTTTATAGCTCCCAGTTCATTCCGTGCCTCTTCTGCAGAGGAGGTACAAGGCTTATGCAAAACAAGCAGAAGGCACTCTTTGCTGGAAACAGGGCGAGATGTAAAGTGACTTCCTCTGGGCCAGAGCATAAACAAAGCTCACTCCCAGTGCATTGAGGAAGTGAGCACTGAACCCTTGGGATCGACTCCGAATTCCTCTCCCCACCTGGACTGAAAGCTTCACCTTGAAGATGCATTTCGCTGCAGTTGTTTTCTGAGCCTTTTCTGGGTCAGAAGCAGGGAGAGGCGCTAAACCGAGGCTGCCGATGGAGTTGCTACATTGAGGGCACAGTACCAAGTTACCTGCTCCACTACACACTCACCCAGCTCACCCAGCGACTGGCCAGTAGGGTATTTTTCCAGTCTCCTGGGCAAAGTGGCTTCACACAGCTTTGAGTGCAGACAACCTCATTTGTCCTCATAGGTGTGAGTCTCCTCCTTGCAGAGGGTCCTGACTTCCTACCCCAGAACAGTTTGCTTTGGTTCTACCATAGCATCTCACTCTCTATGCCTGTAAACAACTCCAACCTTCTGCTAACTTCCCACACTGAGGGACCCTCCTGCTTCAGACTTTAAGTTGAATGTCTGGACATTAAGATTTCCCAACAGTGGCAGAAGCATGTAGGATGCACATACCCACCTTGTAGAGAGAGGCAGAGCCTGACCACTGACCCTAAGAAGAGCCTAGCTTTTAAATAAAAAAATCCCAGCCTTAGCCAGTTTGGCTCAGTGGATAGTACATCGGCCTGTGGACTGAAGGGTCCCAGGTTCAATTCTGGTCAGGGGCACATGCCCCAGTTGTGGGCTCAATCCCCAATAGGGGGCATGCAGGAGGCAGCTGATCAATGATTCTCTCTCATCATTTATGATTCTATCTCTCCCTCCCTCTCCCTTCCTCTCTGAAACCAATAAAAAATATTAAAAAAAAAAAAGAAAATCCCAGATCAGAGCACAGCTAAATACTGCAAAGTAAACCAACCCTGAAAATAAAAGGGACTGTTCACTCAGAAAGTGTGCAGCCAGACCACGAGCGAGCCAGTGCTCAGGCTGCTGTACTCTCTGCTGTGGTGCCTAGGCATCCGTGAGGCGGCAAAACCATCACTGGCATCTGTTGCATTCTAGACCTTGCAGAAGCTGCTCCCAGACCCCACTCTCACCGCCAGCCCGGTATCAAGTTGGCTGTCTGTTGTCAGCTTACCACTGGCCTTGTTGTGCCCCTGAGGACTCACTGGGGCCTTCAGTTGTCTTGGCTGAATCCCTCTGCACAAGGCCTAACACTGTCCTCTGCCCTTCTTTATCCCAAGCACATCTTGCCAAGACCTTCTGAGTGCCTTCCGTCCATAGTTCATCGCAGACCCCTCCACATGTTTACAAAGGCCTAGCAGCTCCACTCCACGCCTTCAGAGCTAAATACCAGCTCCCATCAATCACCACGCACAGAACACAGCAGCAGGAGAGAGCAGTTAGATCGCAGTGGGAGTGTATCCCTGACAGAGAGTTCTGTTGAAAGAAACAAAACACGCCCAAAGGCCTGAGCAAGCAATATTCTGGTGAGTCCAGCCACTGGTGAGAAACTTTCTGTCCGGGTGAGGCAAAAATGAGGGCAGGACAAACCAACTAATAAGCGCTGTAATGGTTCCCAAGGCACTTTCTACTTTGACATGCCGTAAGCACAGACTAAAAGGGCTCAAAAAAAAAAAAAAAAAATCAAGAAAGAAAGAAACCTCTATAGAGGAATTTTTGGTGTCCCTTCTCAATTCTTTACCATTATAAAACAGATCTATGGTCTGAAACACCCACTCAAAGAGCCGTTCACAGCTGCATTCTGAGGGTCAGCCTCAGACAGTCACTGAAAAATGAGGTGGGAGGGACTGTATTCTGGATGAATAACCGACTGTTTCCAGCAATAGGCATACTCTGATGAAGTAGTTAAAATCAGCTGTTACTTTTCCCTTCGATAAATGGAAAGCAATTGGGGAATATCGAGATGGGGAGATAACCTCCACTCAGGTGGAAAGCATTCCTCTTCACTCCTGTCCACGCCCCGTCAACAGTGAGAGCCTTCCTCAACCCTTCTTCATAATCTCCTATCGTCAAAACTGGGGGGATTGTTTTCAGCGCTGAATATGCTGGAAACTTCCCCTGTCGCCCAATTCAACTGGCATTTCCTGAGCACCGCACATTAGCCAAACACTGAGTTAGACACCAATGTCCTTTCTTCAAGGAACTCATACTCCAGAGCAGTGATGGCGAACCTATGACATGCGTGTCAGAGGTGACACACGAACTCATTTTTTTGGTTGATTTTTCTTTGTTAAATGGCATTTAAATATATAAAATAGATATCAAAAATCTTTGTTTTGCTATGGTTGCAAATATCAAAAAATTTCCTTATGTGACACGGCACCAGAGTTAAGTTAGGGTTTTCAAAATGCTGACATGCCGAGCTCAAAAGGTTCGCCATCACTGCTCGAGTCAGACCTGAACACGACCAACAAGGGGACAATGTGCAAGTGACAGCTTAAGAACTCAGAGGAGAGAGTGGGCACCTCCCTGGGACAGAGAAGAGGGAAAGCACCAGGGGGTTCTGTTTGAGCAGGGCCTTTGGGATACACGTATAAGAGTTCACGGCCGAGGAAAGGGAGCAAGATATTCCAGGCCTAGAAAAGAGTACAGGCAATGTCATGCAGGCATGGAAATGTACCCCAAACAAGCCTCCAATAGTCACAGGGCAAGTGGAGAGGGGATGAAACTGGGGAGGGAGGTTGAAACCAACTGTGAAGGTCACTGTCTGCCTGTTTAAACTTTATTTTGGGGAAATGGGGAACCATGAAGGGTTTTAAAGCAGTTGAATGACTCAGTCAGGCTCATGTTTCCAAAAATACTTCTGAGGTCAGGGTGTGTGATAGGTTAGGAAGGTAGAGACTGGAGGCCAATTATTCAAACATAAGAAGAGGAAAAGTGGACATTGAAAGGAAGGAACTAATTTGAAAAGTTTAGAGAAAAAAAATGAACAGGAGTTGGCAGCCAACTGGGTGTGGAAGTGTGAAAAGAAGGAAAACCAAAAAGGTTGCTGAGGTTCTTACTTGGGAGGATGGAGACAAGATGAACTAAGCTTGAAAACAGGCAGAGGAGCAGGGTTAGGGGTAAAGGAGGGAGCCAGGAGGTCCTTACTGTTGCTACATGGTGAGTTTGAGACCTCTTGCTACAACCAAATGAAGGCAGCTGACAGACAGCTATAAAGCAGATCTGGAACTGCGGGGGAGATTGGAGCTGAACATAAGAATTTAGATGCATTGGCAACCCCAACAAATGAAGAAAAAAAACAAACGAAAGGAAGCAATGGTGTCTTAGCCAGTGTGGCTCAGTGAATAGAGCATCCGTCTGTGTGCAGGAGGTAACCAATCAATAATATCTCTCTCACATTGATGTTTCTCTCTTTCTGTCTCTCCCGCTCCCTTCCACTCTCTCTATAAACCAATAGAAAAAATATCCTCTGGTGAGGATTAACAAAAAAGAAACACACAAAAAAGAAGCAATGGTGAGAAAAGTAGGAGAGAAAAAGGAGAGCGCAGGTCCGAGAAGCCAAGGGAGGGCATAGTTTCAAAGTAAGAGAACGGTTAACGAAGTCAAATATTTCAGAGAAGGTAGGAGTTGGGTCTGGAGGGCGGCCATCGCATTTGGCAACACCAGCCCTTTCTGAAGCAGTATGTACAGCAGCACGGAGAGCTGCCTTAGGACAGTGAGTATACTATGCAGTGCTAATTAGCACCTTCATCCTCAGATGTCAAAGAACGATGTCGGAAGTCAAGTTCAGGACATTAATTATTTATTAACAACTAATGAGGGGATTTTAGTCTATTAGGTTAAATCATTGCAAAGAAAAAACAACATAAACAAGTATACAACTAATTGCCCTTATAATTTCAGATCATTAAAAATGCAAGATCAAAGGGAAAAAAATCTCTTAGAATTAAGAGCCATAATTGTTGACCTCCACCCAAATATGGTGGGTGCGGTGATTCTAAGCAAGCACTCTAGAATAAATACACCAGGGTTCAAGTCCAGCTTTGATCTTCTAGTTGTGTAATCTTGAGTAAATAAACTTCTCTAATCCCTGCTTTTTTATCTGT